AATAATGTATAAAATATGGTTAAATGAGTGTTGTTTTTTTTTTTTAGCATCCATCCAAATTTTACACACTTGTAAGAAAGACACAACGTAAAATTAGCAAAGCCATAGATGCCAGGGTATTAGAAACACACATAAGTGGAGACACATGGTAAATGACCTTTACCCCTTTTTCGATCAAAATTACTTGGCTGCGCTGTAGTACTTACATGTGTTGACGTATCGACCGTGTTATTGGAGGGGTTCGAACACCCGACTCACTCCCTTCGTGCAATGCGTGCAATCGGTGCAATTATGCAATTGCAATGCACCACGCAATGCACTCATAATCGCACTAGCCCTGCCCGCTGTCAGACCGGGGCAGGCCCAACAGCAGACGACGCCGTCATTTGTTTGACTTGACAGCTGCAGGAGACTCGAAGGCTGTGAGAAATCATCATCATGTTTTGCTGATGACTATTTTCATGGCCCTATTATTTCCCCATTGATTAATTGAAAATAGATTGTACGGTGCTTAGGATTTCATAAAACAAAACTTATATTATAGAATCTTTCTATCCATGCTCAATTTACCCTCCCATTGTTATTGACAGACCTACACTAAATGCCGAAATATGCAAGTTGTGTTTAATTTGTCATCGAACCATCGTAAACAAACTTGCTGAGTCAAAGGTGTTGTAGGTAAGAGTTACCTTTTTGTCATATACTGATATTTGTTCAAATTAAATATTAAGACTGTTCATTTTAAGGGTGTTGAAGTGAAGGTTATGTTTTCCTTTGTGTGTCTTGTTTTTGTCTGCTTTGCTCATTGGTTATGTCCTCATTTGGATTGTTTTAAGTCATGTGTAAATAATTTTTGTTGCACCCAGTATTTCTATTGCTTCTCTGCTTTCTTTCTTACAATACTTTTTTTTCTCTTTCCTGCTGAGTCACTTGTTCATGCAATATTTTACTTTCAGTTGATACCCTCTATGGACAAGAAGCTGTTTTTGATCAATTTCCATAAAAAGTAGTGGAGGACATCAAAATGTCACAATATCAGTTCGATGGAGAGTTCAGGCGTATGCCTCAGCAATCGTATGGAGGTGCAAGCAAAGTCGAAGATAGGAGTGAACTCATTCGAAGGGCTCAAGCTGAACGTCAAAAGAGAGAGGTGTGTGTTGTTCAAAATTTTCATTTCAGTTTACCTATAATACTGATAAATTATTCAATTATTTTTCTTGGTATTTTAGGAACAGAGAAGAAAGCTGAACAGTGTGAAAGTTATTCAGGCCTTAGTTCGTAGTTTTTTGACAAGAACATACCAGAAAAAATTACTGCGAGCTCAGTTTGACACTCTTTTAACTAGTAGCAGTAATGGTTCTCAGTGGAATCAATTGTCATTACTCTCTTCAAAACTACTATTCTTCTATTCGCAGGAAACTGATGGCTTAAGGCTGGTAAGACTAAAGATCCTGGTAAAAGAACATTGATGACCAATTAATATTCATATCTTAAGTTCCATTCCATTCCTGTATATTAATAGGTTAACATCCTGCAACTGATGTTGAAACAAAAAGCTGCTGTTTTAGAATCTGCTCTGAGGCCTGGTGACCCATGGCAGTGGCGTTTACGCAGACTTTTGTTATTGAGTGTGCAGTATGTATGCAGTGCAAGTACAAAAGACTCAATTGCATCTCCTTTAAGAGTTGTGGAGGTTTTCACATCCCTAGAAAATGTTCGTCAAGTTCTTGGTGAACAAGGGGCTGTGCTACATCTCTCTAACACTTATGCCTATTTAGTGAGAAAGGGTAAGTAAATTTTAGAATATAGGTGTTCACAACTCTTTTAGAAGCAGAACATGTACATACATTCCTTATTTTATTTTCTCTATCTGTAGGGTACATGCAATACGTTCGAGAGCTCTTGGATAGTCGAACTCCTCCATTACTTGAAACTTCTACAAACCCACCAACACCCTTAGTGGCTTGTTTGTTGGAGATGCTGGTTCAACCTTTACAGCTTGTATCAGTTATGCCAGACTATCATATTAGGTAGCTATAAGGATATTTGACACTTCTGTTCTTCCCTGAAAAAATCTCAAAACATGTGGTGCATTTATTTATTTATTTTGTTTTTCATTACAGGATGACTATATTGAAAGGACTTTGTGAGAGTATACTTTGCCCGCCGCTGACTGAGCCTATAAAATTATTTGTGTTACCAGCTCTATCTGTTCTCCCTGAATTTCCTTTTGCTGCTTTGACTGAGACATTATGCTATGACTTAAAATCAGTAGTTCCCTTCACCTCATTTCTCCTGTACTCTTTCTTAACTCTGGATCCAACTAATTTAAGTAAGTCTCAGAAATTTAATTAATTTTCCAAAAGCTTTGTAAATTTGTTATTAACTTATTTCTTATTTTTAAAGAGGAACATGGGTTGATGCCAAAACCATTCCTTCAAAGCTACCTTCAAATTTTGGCGGCCCTTACGTCAAAAATGGGTCAGGTTTTACCTCTAGCAGCAAAGATGAAGATGGATGATGATTCCGATCAGGACTCTGATAGTGAAATTGATTCAAAAAGAAAGGGAATAAAAAATGAAGAAATAGAGGTATGCTTCAATGTCTGCACTTTTTTTTCAGGTATCATTTAACACACTATTTGCACCAACTAATACAAAAAATAAATTCCTTTCTCAGGTGATACAAGCTTGCGTCTCACTCATGAATAATCCAACTAGGGTTCAAAGCCTCTTAAATTCCTTAGAGGCTTGCTCAGGGGATCCTCTTATTCTCCAACCATTATGTCAAGTTTGCCATAATTTACTAGTTTCACATCGTTCTGCTGCCCACCAGTATCGTATTTTAAATTTGTTAGCTCTGAGACCATCATTTTTACGTGCTGTATGGACTGCTGCTACATTAGTAACTCAAACCTCAATATTTGGAGAGGCCACTCCCCTATTAAATGTTATTGCACGAGGTGTTCAAACTACTCCAGAAGACTCTGTGAAGATTGTCCCCCTTTTGGCTGTGTTCTGTTCCCTTAACACAATGCTTTTAATCACTCTTCATGATGCTGAATTTTATTCCGATGAAATAACAGGTTAGTTACAAGGACTCTCCATTTTGTCTCTCTTTTTCTTTTTACATTTTCTTATATTTTCTGTTTTGATGTCACAGCTTTAGGTGTAACAGCTCAAAATATGCCTTTTACTTTAAATGAGTTGGTTACCATTAGCCTTCGACTGAAGGAGGTGAGCCTCGGCCTGGTTGAACTGGCATTTCCCGAATCAAGGCCTTCTGTACGAGAGGATTACCGTACTGCTGTAACAACACTCCATGATCATCCGATTGTTTCACAAACAGCTCAAGATACCCAAATGTGGTCACATCTTTTTAAGGTAGACTGCGAAAATTTCCATAATGCGTATACTGTTTAAATCAACACTTTGTACAAACTTTATGTGTCTACCCTCATCTTGTTCATGTTATTTCAGGTCGTGGTTGGTCTCGTCCAGCAACTCCATGCTCGAGATCTTAGAAGACAGTTTTGTCCACTAGACCATTGGATCTCCAAGCAAATTGTGATTCCTATGGAGAAACCTAAAGACTTTGTCATCAGAAGGCAAAGGTTAAGGGCCTACAGACCATTCCAGACTATTCGTGTTCTTTCGAGAGATGAGTTAGGTAAGTCACTGGTCATCATAATTTTGCCTGAAGTTTGTCAGTTAGAAAAAACTCTCCTAGTCAATAATTTATTGTTAATTCTTTTCCAGTTGATGGTCCCCCACTTACAACAAAGGAAGTTAGGGTGTTAACCATTTTAAGGGAGTTACCTTTTCTCGTAGCATTTCAAGAACGAGTAAAGGTTTTCCAATCATTGGTTTACAGAGATAAAATTGAACATCAGGGTGAAGAAGTACAATTTCTCATGGGTAGAACAATAAACATTAGCGTTAGGAGATCTCATTTATATGAAGATGCTTTTGATAGGCTCTCCCCTGAAAATGGTAGGTTTAAATTTGCTGCAGATCTATCTATCTGTCAGCAGCATTTAAGTAATCAATGTGTTTCTTTCAGAACCTGACCTACGTCTAAAAATGCGAGTTCAGTTGACAAATGTGGCTGGAGCTGAGGAGGCTGGAGTTGATGGAGGGGGGCTCTTTCGAGAATTCTTATCAGAGCTGTTGAAGACAGCGTTTGACCCCAACAGGGGTTTTTTCATGACAACCAATGACAATCTTTTGTACCCCAATCCGAATGTACATCTTATTGTCGAAGATTTTACTAGACACTATTACTTTATAGGAAGAGTCCTTGGAAAGGTACTTCATTCAGAACTTCCCAAAACATACCTTTAAAAATATGTATTATTTTGTTTTACTTTTTTGTTAATGAGTTTTTATTCCTTCTACAGTGTTTGTATGAAAACCTCTTGGTTGAGTTACCTCTAGCCGAATTTTTCCTTTCCAAGCTGATTGGAAGAAATTCTGATGTGGGTGTACACCACCTTGCATCACTTGACCCTGTAATGTACAAGAATTTACTCTTTCTGAAAAACTATGAGGAAGATGTTTCAGAGTTAGGTCTTGATTTCACTGTTGTGAATGACGAACTTGGAGAAACAAAGGTGGGTTTCATCACTGCTCTAATGTGGTTTGTATTTTACTCCTGAGCTATCTAATTGTCTTTTAAATTGACAGGTTGAGGAGCTGAAGCCGGGGGGCTCAAATATTCCTGTGACATCAGTAAATAGAATTGAATATATACACTTAACAGCAGACTATAGGTTGAATAAACAAATAAGAGCCCAGTGCAATGCGTTCCGTCAGGTAAGTGATAATAATGCTTTTCTCTCTTAACTATTTCTTCTTACAAGGAACTGTATGTTATCATCATTATTGGTTATCTTTTCAGGGCTTGGCAAATGTTATTCCCTTAGAATGGATCCATATGTTTAACAACAAGGAGGTCCAAGTTCTTATATCTGGGGCTGAAATACCTGTAGATATTGAGGATCTTAAAAATCATACAAATTATACAGGTAAACCTTGATCTTCTGCTTCTGGAGATAGTTTTGCAAAATGGAAAAACCGACTTTGAGAAACATCTTTTTTTTCTTTCTTATTTCCAGGTGGATTTGAGCCAAACCATAAAACAATAAGATTGTTTTGGAAAGTTGTGCAAAATTTCTCGGACATTCAGCTTCGACAACTACTTAAATTTGTAACCAGTTGTTCACGACCACCTTTGCTTGGCTTTAAGGTAAATCATTAAAATTTTCTTAATTTTGAGTGAAGTCTCTTTCCTAGTGAAATCAAAATTGATCAATGATAGTCACCATAAATATCTATCTATTATTTTCCAGGAATTAAATCCTCCTTTCTGCATTCAGCATGCAGGAGGTCAAGACCGATTACCAACAGCGTCCACATGCATGAACTTGTTAAAATTACCCGCATTTGAAAATGAAAATCTTCTTCGTGAGAGATTGATGTATGCTCTCCAATCAAATGCTGGATTTGAGCTTAGTTGAATACACTTTTGTGTTGTAGTATCAAGATGTATATTGATACATGAAATTTATATTTTCTATTCCTTGATTGTCACAGTCAAGGTCAATGAATTAATGTATAAAAAACATGAGCGCTAGTTAATTAGAGAATGAGACAAGTAATCATTTTAAAAATTGTGAGCTTTTAGAGATAGGATATTATTGTGAATCAGTTTTTAAGGTATAGGCATGCAGCCAAGTTTTCTATCATCAGTTTTAAGGTTCAGTAATAATTTTTTTTAAAGTGTTGAGAATCATAGCACTTATTTATGGTATCCATAAAAGTCTGAGTATGTATGCATTTCATTACTATACTCAGTAAAAAATTATTGCTCATTATTTTACTAACTCAAAAATTTGTCAAGATTGAGTGGAGTCTACCGGCAAGCTAGGTGGAGGCTTGTGTGCCAAAGAAAATTGAACTCTTTGCTGCTAGTTGCCACAAGAGTGTGTTATGACAAATTATGACAAACTATTTAATGTTACACTTCTACAAGATATTTTGTGCCTTGGTTAAAAAGGTGAACCTGTTTGTAGTTGCGAAGGGAGATGTCATTGGATTTAGGGTTTACGTTGTAGTTCCATGCCATAGCTAAGCATGTTTTTTTTCTTATAAGGTTTTACTACCTAACTTATAATCTGTAAGCCTATTCTGTGATAATTAATGGTCTTGTGCAATCCATGAGAGGACAGTTTCAGTTTCGTAAGATGGGAAGTTTACTAGTATAACCATAGACAAGACAATCGTCAATGCATCTGAAAATAATTTGTGTGCCAAATTCTTCATTGTGGGAAATCATCCTTATTCTTACCCCTTTTTTGTATCAAAATACTGAAAGATGGGTACAACATCACATTTTCTCACTACGTAAATAAAGACGAACCCCTTTCCTGTAAATTCAATACCTACCACTCTTTTCATTTCCTTATCTCATTGCTCTGAAGAAATATAATTACAGATTCCTGAAACTATCACTTTTGATAAGATCTTGTTCTAGCCAACCCCTTATTTATTTCATCAGAAGAGAAAATTCTACTTATCAGTTTACATTCTCTTTAGCACGGGAGTGAGGGATCAGGGTTTGTGCTGATTTTCTGAGGAAAGTATGTGTACTGAAGTTCATGTAAAAGACTGTACATTTCTTTATTATGGTTCTTTTTTGAATTTTACCACCGAACAACCAAACCATGAGAGCAGCCTGATCAATCATTTTATGAAAATAATAATGAGGCTTCCATGATGAATCGCTGAAGTATATTGTTAGTTATGTGTTCTGCTGTCCTTAAGTTTTAATTTTAAGAATTGGCTCATAGGTATACTGATGATTGCATTGCTTGAACATTGTAACAATTTTTATTTGGACATTAAAAGGCATAATAATAAATGTGATCTTCAGCATACCTATGAACATGGTACTGTGTGTGTAATAAATGCTGAAAGCAGTGAGTCTTGTACTTAAAACTGTTACAATCAAATGTCATCTGTCTTCTTTAAACTTTTGTCAAGAATCGATAATCTCCTGTCTCATGCATGTGTCTTTGTTGTTGGCTAAAAATATATTTTCAAAAAATTACAAATTTTGGTAATGTTATTTACTTCCTTCAACTTTAACATGACTTCAATTAAAGTGAAAATTCTAAACAACGCTTGCTCATCATGCGTGATGCGTGCTTATGCGTGGGGCCGAAACTCATATTCCATTCAAACTATGGCGCGCCGTGGGCGCGCGCATGCGCAGAAAATGCATAACAGAAATTTATGAACAGTAAAGGAATCAGTCCAATTCGATGGGTTGATCAAACGTTGCTCGTATTTCAAATGATAGCAGTTTCTCCAAGCCTTTACTTATTTTACTCCATCACTTTATGTGTACTTTTTGCGCTGTCCAACCGACAGCGATACGTGAACAGGGCTTTTCGTGCTGCCGGTTGGCAACCCTGGCAGCGCTGAGCGAGCCCAACAACAAAACCAAAAACAACAACAACAAGAGTTCCAGTCCGGCGGGCCGCCGCGGGAGTGAGTGAGCGAGGTGTGTCCGTGCAGTGTAGTGGTGGGGAGAAGTTGGGTCGGGGCGGAGAGTGAGCGCTCCCTAGTCCAGTCCAGTGAAGTTTTAGGAATGGAATTCGGATAAATTTACGCGAATGTGGTTGTAGTTTTGTGCGATTTTGTGTCAAGATTCACGCACCAAACTTGGATTATCGTGCGCCGAGGCCTGGTTTTCGTGTGCGGCGCTCTGAGACGGAGCTAGGAAATGCAGAAGAGGACGCTACCCGTCGGAGTACCCAGGTACGTTTGGGCGTCGCCGTGACCGCGCCAGCGCCACGCACCCGCCCAACACCTCCGTGTTGACGTCCCGGCTTGGCCCGGCCCTAACTGAGCCAGCGGCCTGAAATTCAGTTGGTGTCACGGTTGTTTTTGCCGTAAATTTTGGTTGGGCTTAAGAGCAAACGGGGGGCTTATTTACCTCCTCCGGGCCCCACTGATCCAGCGGGCAGGTGAACTAGTTTCAAGGTTAGGGTTCTCTGGAATTAGACTTATTTTGCACTGGCTTGGTAATTTTTGAACACCTTTTGCATTGTCTTTGATTCTATAGTGGGTAAACTTGTGCCTGAAGTCATCTGGGTTCTCCAGCTTATCTACCTGTTTGCTTATCACTCCCATCCACCTGTAAGAGCCACTCCTTGTTATTGTTGATAAAAATGGCAACTCTGGGAGTAATTGTCACTTATATCTGAAAGAAAAATTTGATAGTCATAATATTGTCTTTGTAATTATACTTATCAATGCAACAACCCAAGTCATTTGTAACTAGCAGAATCATTATTATGGTGAAATTATTATTTTTTGTTGGGTGTGGTACTTGAAACTTTTTGTAGCCTGTAAACAAAACAAGTTCCCACTGAAAACAAATTGCAAATTAGATTTAAATTACCTCATAGGCAAATTCGTAAGTAGGCGTCCTGATTGTTTTGAGATATGTAGGAAGCAGCATCTTTAAAAGATTTCAAAGGTTTCATTAGTCAACTTGCCTAAGATGGATTTTACCTGTGATCATTCTATTTTTTTACAATTCCCGGTAAAATCCAGTAAATTTCAACAGGTTTTTTACTTTGGTTGAGCTATACATTGTAATATGTTAGACATCAATGTTTTTATCAAAGAATACAGCTTATTTTTGCCATGTTTAATGAAACAAAGCTATGCATTATGATATACAGCTTATGGGCTGCTCATTTTGAACATAATCATTTAAGTACAGTACGAGTTGAGCATAAAATATTTGCACACATTTCTTTTTAAAATAGGTAAGAGTCTGAAACTGTTGATTAAATACTAATAAAAAAGTTCTACACCAATCAAATTTTTACCAGTGCATTATGTAAGATTCAAGTCAGTTCTATCGTCTTGTTCAATTTCTACTAAAGATCAGAATCAGACGTTCTTTGTATACATAGAACCCTATCCCACTATTTTGTCCATGACTCACCTCAAACTCATATTTTGATGGAAAAAGCAGCTTCTTCTGCCTGGCTTTTGGGTAAGTTTTGCGAAATTGGCGGAGACTGCAACGCTGGTGGTTGGCGCCGTTGCGAATTCTTCCATGTGCGAATATCTCTCCGGAGTCCATTCGTCGTCTAAACCGATGTCAAAGTGTCTTCCATCTCAAGTCCCACGCCTTTTTTTTTCGTCTTACCGCGTTGGGTATTCCCGTCGTGCACATAACTGCTGGTCGCATGTTCCATTCCCAGACTTGCGTAACTTTTATTTATTTATTTTTCATTTTATTGCCCTAACGGATGAGATCAGGAGGAGTTCGAAACTTGAAGCACTCGTGGCTGTAAAGCTTTGGCGGGACCGACTGTTGTTGAGCCGCGCGGCGTGTGTGTGGGTGGCTGCGCTCGGAGAGCAGAGCTGAGCAGAGCGGAGCGGACTGTGCTGCGTTCAGTAATTACAGCGGGGAAGGGAAGGGCGGGGCGGGGCGTTGCCCGTCGCGCGGCCGGCAGCGCTCCCCACTGGACAAGCCTCACTACTTGTTTGCACCCGGAGTGTCGTGCCGTCGTGCGTCGGGACTCTACGCGCCGCCGTGTGCAAGGTTTCGCGGATTATGTACAACTTGGGGGGTACTTTTCTCATGATCGTTTGCCGCTCGAGCGGAGGCCGGAACCCTTTTGAGGGGCAGGAGAGGGGGGTACTTGTTCTCCCATTGTCCCCCTCAGTTGCAGGCGCCCTGCCGCGCCGCCGCCGGTCGGCCCGGCTCGAATGACAGTCAAGTAGTCGTATCCGCAGTTCGTGTACGTGTGCTCCCTTCCTTTCCCACATTCGGTCTGTCTGGCCCGGCCGCCCCTGCCCCCC